AACTCATCTCGCTCCTCTGATTTGATTGCAGGTGAGAACGCCGCGCGGTGGAAGCCTAAACGTGAGTCCGGGGCAGACAGACAGCAGACAGACAGACCGATGCTGTCAGAGAGCTCGCAGAGCCGCCACGGTTTGGGACAGCATCCACCGGGAAGGCAATCATACGCCGTGGAATTTCTCTATTAAGACGAGGGCAGACGCACGGACGCCGCGCGTGAGAAAGAGAGAGAAAGAGAGAGAGAGGGGGGAGAGAGAGAGAGACGCCGCGTGGGCTGCTGGAAGGGCTTCATCTGGACAGCACTTGATGCCCAATAAGGACACTTTATAGTATCAGAGAGAAAAGGGGGGGGGGGAGCGATGTCGTCCAACTTCTCAGTACGCAGAACTCACAAAAGGACTTTTGGTGAGGTGGACCGTTTTCAGTGCCCAGACGGACGAGCATCCACAGACAGACAGACAGACACACAGAAAGGCAGCTGGCGGCGGGTGGCGCCCGACTGATAGCAGTGTGTCACGGGGGTCAGCGCGTCGCGGGTCACGGCGTCGGCCATGATGACGTCACAATGCGGTCACCGCGCTGTGTCCAAAGGCGGCCACAGGCTGCGGCCGGCCGAGTGAGACAAACAATCGAGCCGCCATTTGAATCCATTCCGTTTTGACCGTTTCGACGCGTGTCACCCTGCCCTCCGCCCTCCGGCCGCGAGAGATGGATGGAGGTATGGATGACGGGCCACGCGGCCACGCAGTGCGTCGGCCAGGACGGTCGTTTGTCACTCATACTCCACCCGCAAAGTAATGGCCCACGATGAGCGAGCGATAAGGGGAAGTCAGCCCGCTGTCCCATTGCGGCAGGTCTCACACTGCAATTTTCGGGAAAAATATTTTGCGAATCAATTTTAATTGCTGGCAGAAAAATGGAGAATTTTTGGAACGGCGGTACCTCGGTTGTCTTGCGTACCCAGTGGTCAGGTCGTGGAACCCCAGGTAGGCGATATCGTTCTCACTCGCACAGCTCGGCGTGCGGACTGCGGAGCGAGGAACGAGGTGTCAAAAGGGCCTCGCCAACCCGCTCACGCCCGCCGGGGGACGCGGGCGGACGCCAGATCGAAGACCACGCCGTGCTTCGGCGGGCCGGGCGGTCCGGGCGGCCCGCTCACACACTCACGCGCGCCGTAAAGCAAGATTAGGAGCCTCCGGGGCGTCAACAGGACCGCCGGCTCGGGACCGGCCGGGACCCCGGGGCAGCGAGACGGCCGTATAATCCGCAGCAGACTGATTCCGAGAGGCCGCTCTGTCTCTCTCGCACTCACGCGGCGTCCCCTGGGGGTGCGAGGGAGACAGAGCGACGAAAATGACTCAGTTCGCTGGATCCCTCCGCGCTCCGCTTATTTATGGTGTGGGTGACAGCCATCGAGTCCGGTGGCAGTGACACGGGGAGGTGCACTGTGAACACGCACGCGTGTGTCGGGCAACGCAACGCGACGCTACACTGTGGGCGCCTGCGAAGTGCCGGGTAGGCAGCAAGGCAGTGCGTCTGGGTGTAACGGGACTGCCTACCTCACAGGCGCTCGCCGACGCCGAACGCGCGTCTGCGTGTGTGCGCGTGTGTGTGAGTGCGCGTGCGTGCGTGCGTGTGTGTGCGTGTGTGTGCGTGCGGCCGGCACTCGCTCTAAGCGTTACTGGCGCGCGGCATGCGAGCTCGCTTGTCCGTCGGGCTGCAGGGCGTTTTGGTGCGCCGTCCGCAGTCGCAGGCGACATGGCTTAATTCTAATGGCGTTGACGGGCAAACGCGCGAAAAACACGCACAGGGGCTCACCTGCCCAGGCGTGCGTCCCACAGTGGGCCGCATCCGCTTTCGCCCCCCCCCCCCTCGCCGCGCCTTTAAAGTCCTCTCCGGACTCTCCGGATCGAACGCGTGTAAGGGCCGAGCTGGCCGAGTGCAGTGCCGCTCACAACTGCCTCGCCCTAAAACTTTACCCATAAATTTTGGCGCTTACACGCGGCCGTGAGGGGGGAGACGGGCCCGGCGGGGCGGGGAGGGGGAACACAGCGCCGAACTGATTATTAACCCCCCGGGCATGTAATGGACGCCAACGGGCCAGCCATCATCTCACCGAAAAAAAAAAACATGCAAAACAAGTTATTTTTAGAAATAATTAAAATGTTTTACCGCATCGATTATTCGGCGCCCCGTCCGGAAATTGGCCTTTGATCTACATGTCCGCCACCGGGCCGGGCGGGGTGAACTCCCGCGCATGTTTGGTCCCCCTCTGACACGCACACGGACATTCGCGACCGCAACTTTGCACTGATCGTCTTCACGTCTGACAGGCGGGTTAGTCTGGCCCCGGCAAAAGTCTGGCCCTGGCTCTCCCCAGTCTGCGTGTCTCGTCGCGGGGGCGTTCTCCCCCCGCCCCGCCCCGCCCCAACCCGCTCCGCCCCGCCGCGGCGCCGGCGCCCAACTTGTACCGGCGCCTTCCTCCCCTACGACATCCAGGCCCTCCCCTCACACCGACAGCAACTTGTTTCAATTATTATTAACTCGAGGTAAATGCGAACCGCAATGTGTCTCCTCCGGGCGGATCGCAGTGTGTGGACGTGTTCGTTAGGCGGCGCGGCGGGGGACGCATGCCGGAGCGGGGACGCGTCGCCCCGGACCAATCGCGGATTGATGACTGGACAATTGGCGTTGCGTGACTGAGACAAAGGGACCGGGAGCAGGGGGAGGAGAGAGGAGAGAGAGGAGAGAGAGAGAGAGAGAGGAGAGAGAGAGAGAGAGAGAGAGAGAGAGAGAGAGAGAGGGCCCTGGATAAAGACGCCACTCCAGATCCACGAGGACGCCGAGGCCCCGCAGGCCCCGTCGGGGACGCGCGCAACGGCGAGGGGCGCCGCTGGAGAGCGCGCGGCCGCGTTCGAAATTCGTCGCTCTGTCTCTCTCGCACCCCTACGGGCCCTACGGCAGGCCCCGCGAGTGCGAGAGAGACAGCGGCTTTCGGACGCAGCCGATGGGGCGCACGACGCCGCCCGCCTGGAGAATTATGGAGAGGCTTCTGGAGAGCGGGGCGCGCGGCTGGAGGCGGGGGCGGCTTCGGGAAAGGCACGGCCTGGAGTGAGCAGTGTGGCGGCACGGCGTGCGGTCGCGGAGAGCGAGAGGGCGGTGCGTTGCTCGGAAGCATTTTTAATAAAGGCCTTGCAACGCAATGAATTCGACAGTTTTAGATTAATTAATCGGGGAGAAGGAGAGAGATGACGCCCGGTGCACTGGCGGGCGGAGAGAGGACTCCGCGGCGGTGCCGTCCTGGACTGGAGGATGATGACGGGCACGATGGCGGCGAGCGGCGGACAAAAAACCGGGAAAGGAAAATGTTGGGAATGAAAGCAAGCGAGGCGGCGGGCTAGACCGCGGTGCGGCTCGGCACGGCACGACTCACGCTTTGACCGGAAGACGTAAATGAAGGGCGCTCCGCGGCGGACTCCAGACTCCGGACCAGGCCTCCAGGCTCCGGGCGGTAAAACAAAGTGAAATAATCGATTTCACTTCCTCCGGCCGGGCTGGTCCACTGGGCTGGCGACGGCGGCTACACTATAGGCATCACGGTACTTGACTTTACAAGTTGTCACAGTGGCGGGCCGGCCCGTCGCAAACTATCCTCCCACAGTGTGGACGTCGGCTGGCCTGATGGCGCTGGCCCCCCAAACGGGTTGTGTACGCGAACCGGCGGGCCTGGCGGCGCCTGGCAGCCTGTACTTAGCGCGGCCGAAAAGGCCAGCCTAAAAACAACAACAAAAGGAGGATGCCCGCGGAGTGCTCGCCTTGCATACGCGTCACGGCCAGTGCGTTAATTGCCGTGTTGGCCCGTCCACTTTTTTCGTGCTCTCCGTTTATCGGGGAATAATCGCTAATGCTGTCTCTCTCGCGCCCCTACGGCACGCCCCACGAGCCGAGAGAGACAGCGCGCGACGGAATCCGCCCGCAGCGCGGCTCGGCGATGACAACCCGGAGCGCGGTGCGGCGGCAACGCTGCAGCGGACTCATTCCGAGTCGCTTTTTCGTCGCGCTGCGTCGCTCTCGCACTCACGGGGCGCGCAGGGGTGCGAGAGAGGCGGAGCGAAGGAAGCCACTCTCGGAATCGGTCTGCACCGCGTCGCGTGACGTGCCGTGACGTGCCGTGACGCGCGGCGCGTTGACAGCGAGCTAATGGCTGTGCGGGTCCCGGACGCCGTCGGAACGGCCCGGACTACGGATCGGAGGGTGTGGTCGCGGAGGCCGAAGCCCCCGCGGGGTCGCCAAAACCGCAACGAAGGAACAGCTGAAATAAATTCGAAATTAAATGCCACTCTTTGAAACAAGTTTCTCGATGCACTCTATCTGAATATCGACCTAGCCTCGGATAGCAACCCCCCTACCCAGCTCGACCTGAACTCATCTCGAGAGCCGCAAAGACAGTGGCTCGTCCCGTGTGGAGCCGGCCCGCACAATGGGGGCCCGATTGCAAAGCCATTGCAAGGCGTCCCACTGACTGCTCCCCGATTGCACCGCGGTTGCAGCGGTAGCAGCGCCAGTGCCACGCGTTCTGAAAAGGCTTCCGCCTCCGTTCCGCACCAGTTGCCGACAAATATGTCTGCCGTTATCTCCGCCTTTTTTCCCGCGCCTCCTTCTTCTTCTTCTTCCTCTTCTCGCGGTGGCTGAGCTCTACGGAAGGCTAGGCCGCGACAGGTTGTGCCGCCGCTCAGCCTGCCCGCGGTGGGAAGGGAAGCACGCCGCGGTCGTAATGTCGAGCGACGGACTGTCTGTCTGTCTCTCTCGCACTCGCGGGGCGCCCCGTAGGCCCGTGCGGGTGCGAGAGAGACAGAGCGCTGCTGTCGCGACGCGGGTCGTAACGTGGCCGGAGTGACGCGTGGGCGCGATGCAGTGGAGCGGCAAGCCGCCCAGTCCGGCCAATCCAAATACAATATTTCCCACGAAAAAAAAAGTACATGTTTTGTTTCTGTGCCGGCAGGATGAACGTGTGCGCACTGCTGGTGGTGCTGGGCTGCGTGGCGGTGCACGCCAGCGAGGACGTGGTGCACATCAAGTCCAAGTACTCGGCGCCGCCCCTCATCACGTCCAGCACCCTGCGCTGGGTCAAGAAGAGCATCGGCGAGCGCTCGGAGGCCGCCGTCGTGGGCGCCTACGAGATCGTGCCGGGTAAGTCCGTGTGTGCTCCACACAGTGGAGGAGGCCAAACCTCAAGACGCGTTTTGAGCTGCAGAGTCGCTAAATGGGGCTCGAACCGAACGTGTGACCCCACCAATGGATTGCTCTCCGAACGAGGAATCCATTGGTGGGGTCACACGTACGGTTCGAGTCCTGTTTAGCGACTCTGGAGCTCAAAACGCGTCTGGAGTTTTGGGCGCGGAGACTAACTTTACGCTGCACAGGTGACAACACCAACGGCGAGGACGAGGAGAACCTCAACGAGGTGCTGCAGCGCGACGTGTACGTGTGCCGCGCGCGCCACAACGGCGAGTGGCTGGCCGGCGTGCTGCGTTCCGGACACCCGGCGTGCCACGTGGCGCTGGGCAACCACGTCTTCCGCTACAACGACTACGAGGTGCTGGACAACGAGGACAAGGCGGCGCGCCTGTCGTGGGAGCGCTGGGACCGCTTCACCGGCACCATGCCGGTGGGCGCCGTGGCCGCGGGCGACAACTACATCGCCAGGAGGAAGGTGGAGGAGCCGGGCGACGGCCGCGGCGTGCTCGGCTTCACGCACTTGCTGGGCCAGATCGAGAAGAGGGGCTTCCAGGGCCTCATCAACGTCGTCGACCAGGTAAGGACTCCGCGCCGGACGCGTTTTGAGCTCCAGAGTCGCTGAATAGGAGTCGAACCGAACGTATGTGACCCCACCAATCAGGCTCGGACTGGCCCCCAAGAGGCCCCAGCGCAGCGGCTCTCAACCTTTCTCGGCTCGCGACCCCAAATTTGAAGCCAAAAATTTCCGCGACCCCCAGGAAAAATTTCGCGACCCCACGGGACCCCTCCTTTAACATGCCACGGCGTCTGATCCGAGGCGGGCATTTTGCTCCCTCAACGGGCAGTTGGTCTTTGGACCTTCCTTTAGCATGCCTTTGTTACGGAGTGCAATTATCAGTCTTAGTTTGGGAGCAGTATTGTCTCAAAGTTGGCCAAAACGCTCAGAAATGTCTGTGAAAAATCGTGTTTTGGGCTGATTTTAAGCAGCCACAGCGTCTGATCTGAGGTGGGCATTTTGCTCCCTCAACGGGCAGTTGGTCTTTGGACCTTCCTTTAGCATGCCTCTGTTACGGAGTGCAATTATCAGTCTTAGTTTGGGAGCAGTATTGTCTCAAAGTTGGCCGAAACGCTCAGAAATGTCTATGAAAAATCGTGTTTTGGGCCGATTTTAAGCAGCCACAGCGTCTGATCCAAGGCGGGCATTTTGCTCCCTCAACGGGCAATTGGTCTTTGGACCTTCCTTTAGCATGCCTTTGTTACGGAGTGCGATTATCAGTCTTAGTTTGGGAGCAGTATTGTCTCAAAGTTGACCAAAATAGTCACAACGGTTTTTCAAAGACACTTGCGACCGTTTTGATCGACTTTGAGACAATACTGCTCCCAAACTAAGACTGACAATCGCACTCCGTAACAAAGGCATGCTAAAGGTAGGTCCAAAGACCAATTGCCCGTTGAGGGAGCAAAATGCCCGCCTTGGATCAGACGCTGTGGCTGCTTAAATTCGGCCCAAAACACGATTTTCCATAGACATTTCTGAGCGTTTCGGCCAACTTTGAGACAATACTGCTCCCAAACTAAGACTGATAATTGCACTCCGTAACAGAGGCATGCTAAAGGAAGGTCCAAAGACCAACTGCCCGTTGAGGGAGCAAAATGCCCACCTCAGATCAGACGCTGTGGCTGCTTAAAATCAGCCCAAAACACGATTTTTCACAGACATTTCTGAGCGTTTTGGCCAACTTTGAGACAATACTGCTCCCAAACTAAGACTGATAATTGCACTCCGTAACAAAGGCATGCTAAAGGAAGGTCCAAAGACCAACTGCCCGTTGAGGGAGCAAAATGCCCGCCTCGGATCAGACGCAGTGGCTGCTTAAAATCGGCCCAAAACACGATTTTTCATAGACATTTCTGAGCGTTTCGGCCAACTTTGAGACAATACTGCTCCCAAACTAAGACTGATAATTGCACTCCGTAACAAAGGCATGCTAAAGGAAGGTCCAAAGACCGATTGCCCGTTGAGGGAGCAAAATGCCCGCCTCGGATCAGACGCAGTGGCTGCTTAAAATCGGCCTAAAACACGACCCTAGCATCGCCGCGAACCCTTAAAAAAATTTCGCGACCCCGCTTGGGGTCGCGACCCTAAGGTTGAGAACCACTGCCCCAGCGGGTAAGACCGCAAAAGGCCCCCGATCATCATTATGTTTTTTACCCTTCATGACCAACTTTGTGAGGCTACCGCTCCGAAACTAGTTGCGGTCAATAGCCTTCCCGATACAGGGCATGAAAGAGTAGGGTCTCAAGAATACTAGGGCGTCGAGGGAGGTCTTCTACGGCAACTAGATTGGACACAGTGGCCGCCCAAAGTTAGCAAAATCAGCAAATTTCCGAGATTCGACTACTTTTTGACCAATTTGGTCGGAAAATCGTTGCGGTCAAAGCCAAAATCGTTGTGGTCAACGTCTTCCCGATACAGGGCATGAAAGAGTAGGGGCTGAAGAATATTAGGACGTCGAGAGAGGCCTTTTACGGCGACTAGATTGGACACAGTGGCCACCCAAAGTCAGCAAAATCAGCAAATTTCCGAGATTCGACCACTTTTTGACCAACTTGGTCGGAAAATCATTGCGGTCAAAGCCAAAATCGTTGTGGTCAACGTCTTCCCGTCAACGTCTTCGCACCGCGCCCGCTAACATGTTCTTGTTCCCGCAGCACGACAAGGCGGCCGAGTTCCAGGACGGTGAGGTGCTCGTCGAGACGGAGCCCATCCGGTACGAGCTGACCATCACCTCCTTCAACCACAAGCGCCAGAAGGTGAAGCGGCAGGCGCGCGTGCTGGGGGCGACCACGCTGCGCAACGGCGGCGGCGAGTACGCCGTCAACGTGGACTCGGCCATGGCCTACGACGCCAACTACTCGCTGTACTACGGCCAGGGCCGCGCCATCCTCAAGGGCCTGCCCACCGTGGTGCGCCTGCCGCAGAGCCTGCCGCAGGGCCTGCCCGGCGCCAAGCCCAGCGAGGAGATCAAGTGGGGCATCCCCGTGGCCGAGGAGCGCAAGGACGTCCACAAGTAAGTTTGCCGCCGCAGCGGGAAAAAATGAGGATTCCCGGGAGCCGAACCCGCAACGCTGACTTTACCTGTTCCAGGGTGGAGGCGCACCTAGCCCCCGGCACCGCCGTCAACGTGACGCTGGTCGGCAACCACACCGACACCGAGACGCCCTACACCGGCAAGCTGGTGGCCGTGTACCCGGACGGCGAGACGCGCGCGCGCACCATCGGGGGCAGCCGCCGGGAGGTGGCCATGCTCGACGTGCACCCGGAGCTGGGCCCCGTCTACTTCCTCAGCAACGACTCGCTGGTGCCAACCACCACCACGACCACCACCACCACCACCAGCACGACCACCACCACCACGACGACGACGACCACCACCACCACCGAGGAGCCGTCCACGCCGGCGCACACCAAGAAGCCCAAGAAGACGCTCCCGGGGGAGAGCGAGGGGCCGGGCCACAAGGGCGAGAACAGCAGCATGATGTCGGACGAGGGCGACCAGGACGCGCCGCCGCAGAGGGAGGCCGTCATCTCGGAGAGCTCCCCCGCGCCGCCCAGCGCCGTGGCCGCCACCCTCCTCACGCTGGTGCTGCCCTGCGTGCTGCTGCAGGCACTCAGGATAGCCTAGACGGCAGTGTAGGGCGGCCAGGACGCGTGTCCGGGACCTTCAACTCCAGGAAAACAACAGCAAAACCAGGACCAGGAAAGGTCCCGGACACGCCACTGCACGCACTACGCCTCGCCGTGCAGCTCTCTGTCCCGGCCGCGTTCAGGCGATCTGGGACCGCTGCGCGGCGAGGCCTAGTCGGGGCAGCGCGAGTAGAGTCGTTTTCCTCTTCTTATTTAGGGCTGCCCCCTCCGACGGCCAGCCCGCCGCCGCCTTGCACCCCGTCGGGGCGCGTGCATTAATCATAGAGGGGTTGGCGCTAAATCATTACCAATGCAAAAGCGACAATTTTGGAAAAAAAAATCCGCTAACATGATTTATGCACGGCCCCGACAGAGTGCAGCCTGGCCGGGGGCGGCCCACTTTTACTTTCCTAATATACCGCGAATTGTGATCTTTATAATTATAAAATCAGCTTTCGGTAAGGCCAGGACGAGGGCCGAGGGTGTGGAGACAAAGTCGATGGACTGGTTAGAGGTAGTTTTCTTTGTAATATAGCTGAGGGCCTTGCGGCTGGATCGTTACGATTTTAGTTGAATGAGATTTTTAATTTATTATAATAGAGCTGCGTGTTGAAATTATTGAAAAATAAAATAAATATGGCGAAAGGGAAAATATAAAAGGCGAGGTGGGGAATTCCTTTGGCGAGATAAATATTTTATTCATTCTTTCTATAGTACTCTTCCGAAACCTTTCTACTGTATCTCAAAAGAGTAGGACAAAACATATATTCTTGTCGAAAGTGTGTGTTTTAGCTTTTCCCCTTGAGCTGTATATTACTTCATAATTCATTCCATCTTATTCGTAGAGTTTCGAATAGTGTTGCTATCTCTTTCTAAAAGAAAAGATACGGAGCGCACAGAGGCACAGAGGTAGAAGTGGAGCGGGCTGCCTACCTCGTTGTTGGCAGGCGCTTCCCATCTAAGCTCAGAGTATTTTCAGTAAATTCGAGCATATACGATTACGTTATAGTGACCCGGGAGAGCAACATGAAAAGTACTCTATTTGTTTTCTGGATACGCTGTTGTTTTGTAATGTTAATTTTAGGTAAAACATTGTTGCCTGTAAAAAATGTAATCTGATTTAAGTACGTTTTATGTGTATATATGCTATAAGCTATGTTGTGTACATAAAATAATTTTAACTAGATGCTATGCGAGGTATAGGCAGTCGATCGGGTTGTTTTTGTTCTGTTTCGGTGGAATGTAAATAGAAAGCACCAAGCAGATGACGCCGGCAAAAGCGGAGAGTGATGAATTGCAGCACGACAGAGACCTTCATGACTTGTTGTAATTGGTCACTTTATGCCTACGGAGCGATGGAAAGAGTTGCACATGACATGGTGAAGGATCGCTCAGATCCTGACGAATTTCGAGGACTTAATGCCATAAAGTAGACTACCGTAGGAGAGTTACCGCGAGCTAGAAGGGGCTCCAACGCAACATGTCACGCTAAGCGCATCATATCAAGGCCGTTCGGCAACCAATAGTTTATTTCTTTTCCTTTTTTTATTTTATTTTTTTGAGGACGTTTGGCAGGAAAGGGGCGCATTTTCGGAGCCGCTCCGCGACGACCAAAACGCTTGACACGACACAGGGCGGCAATGCCGTGGCAATGCCGTGGCGAGGCTAGGCGAGTCCCAACCCAGCAGCTTTCCATACTCTGGCTGGTCGCCCTCCCCATAAGGCTGACAGTAGGCATAAAGATGGAAAGTTAAATTTCTTACTTAGATTATTTTTGGAAGAGCTGGATGGAAAAGCTAGGGTAGTCTATAAGAGTCATTACACTAGTCACAGGGACTAGGACGATAAAGGAGTTCCACTAACTAGCCTGTTGTTCTCTCAGGTTTCTTTGCTGAAAAGACCAATTTATTTTGCAGCAGTTCCGTGTAATGAGCAGGGTAACGTAGAGAAAATGGGCAGGATCTTTTTTGAGCTAAAGTCGGGCAGAATCGATATTCGTGCACGATTCTTCGTATCGTTATTTGGCGTTCTTCATAGGCCTACTTTATATCTACTTATAATTAATCAAAAAATTTCTCACTAGTTTCAGGGAGGATTTTCTAGACCCTCCTCTTTGGTCCTAATGATGCAAATCATGCCGCGAAGCACAAATAAACCAATAGAAGCGCCTGCAGTGCCTGCACCGGGAAGGTTTCGTAGTGTGCCCTGTCGGTCGCACCAAAGGCGCCAATCATCCATAGAAACTCGTTTATGTAGAGTGGGCTGAAGGTAGACCCCCACTTCCCTCGGGGTGGGCTTACGTAGCCAATTTTATCAACTTGCTGATGTCCCTCTTAAGCTTTGTGTCGTCTTGCCGAGAAAAGTATTAGGGAGTAGATACGATTCTTTTCAGCGTTCTATCGCTTCTAAACAAAGCATCTAATGCTTCGTTGTTTGTTTTCGCGTGTCTTGCGCCCCGCAGTAAGATTGTAAATATAGAGTATCTAAACAGTCCAATGTAGTACAAAAGAAATGCGAGAGCGTCATTTCAGCAAGTCACTATGGCATGTTAGCAATTATTTTCTTGTCCGTTCGGGACATACTATTTTTTTATACTTTGCACTACCCTCTTTAGGACTTGAGTACTTCAGCTGAAAGTGAAATATCTAGAATCCGTTTTTAACCCTTATATGTGCATTCTAGTACAAACTTTGAAAATTTATTGTATCTAGAAACTTTTAATCAAATTAAGCCAAACATCTTGTCGAGTGAGGCTGGCGGCGTTCCAGGCGTACGTCCGTGAATGTGAGAAAAGGGTTATTTTTTGGTAACGTGGCAAAATTGTAAACGTGTGTGTACATAGTGTATAAGTCTGTGAAATACAAGAAACTGGCAGAAAAACGTGGCCTTCTGAACCCCTACTCCTCGCGCCACTACTCACGCACTGCACAACGCCAGAGGCAACATCCTCTGGGCGTGTTTACAGGCAAAGTCGCGCGCAGAGCGACGCAGAGGGAGGGACGGGAAAACGGAAAACTAGCGGACACGGTTGCCCGCGACGAGCACCGTCAGACACCGTCAGGCGGCGCGGGGGAGAACCGGCCAACTTGTCGTCCTGGGATCGACACATAGGGCGGCGCAGGCTAGCGCAGGCTGCGGCCCTAGTGCAGGGCTTGCCGCGGCTTGCCGGCGATGTCCCGGGGCTACGGGCACGCCGACTTTGAGGCCGCCCCGCCGCGGCGTGCATTCTGCCCACAGGCGCCTCGACGTACACTTCAAAGGCGGCAGATAGATTCCCGGCTAAAAGACAACGAAAACAAGGAAAACAACGGCACAGCGAGACAACTGCACGACGACGGCGCACGCCACGCAGAGAGGTCACGCACCAGAGGAAGCAGGCCAGGGGGTCATTGAGGTGCAGTCCGGCCGTTGACAATCACTCAGTCTGCGTCAGTGTGTGTGCGTGAATGAATGATACGGGAAGGAGGGGGGTCCAATGGAAAAACGACACGCGACCTGTGCCACGTGCATTGCACGTGCGAAGCCATCGGCCAGGTCCGGCGGACGTATGTGGCGAGTCCCCCCCCCCCTCAAGGCGTTCTCATTTTGTCATTTTTTGTGAGGCACTGCGACAACAGTGTCATGCGAGGTGTTCCGCTGGCCGCGCAAACGTGGCTTATCTCGCAAAGAACTGCAGGCCACACGCCCCGTGAGTGCGAGTGAGACAGAGCGACGAAAACGACTCTCAGTCTGCTGACTGCGGACCACACGGACGGAAAGAGAGAGAGGATGCCAGCCATCCAGCCCGCGTGGTCCATCCAGAAGTGCACTGCAATTCATTCAACGCAAAAAACAACAACAAAAAAACGACAAATTTGTCACGCTTCGTGCGCGAGCAAGGCGGTGCAGCGCGGGGCATAACGGCGACGCCGTGACGAAGCGTGACAGCGTGACGATGCGTGACGAGCACACACACACACACAGAGACTTTTGCAGTGCAGCACCACGCGGACGGTTCTCTTCCGTGACAAACACCCCGAGCGACGCATCCAGAAGAACAGAACAGAAAACTAAGAAGAAAAAAAGGAAAAGTGTCCAGCCTCCCCTGCTCACTTTCACGAAGAAAAGGGGGAGGGGGAATAACCGTCGGAAGTGTCCCACGCGTGTCGTACCGCCCTCGGGGCCACTCGGACTGGATCTCGGAAACACGGCCGAGGCCGGCCCGTGCGGCATGCTGGTGGTCAGACAACGAATTTATAAAAACCCTTCATTATAACTGACGCAATGAAGAGGGCACAAACAACAACAACAAGGCTGGTCAAGGCGGCCGGAGGAGGCCAGGCCAGGAAGGAGGCGGCATCATGGCCCTACGGAGCACGATAGAGAATTGACATCGGACAAGTTGATTAGAGAGAAGGCACAGCCCTGTGCGGGCCAAAGGGACCCACAGTGGGCCAGAAGACCGGTGGAGGCGGACAAAACTCCAGACGCGTTTTGAGCTCCAGAGTCGCTAAATGGGACTCGAACCGAACGTGGGACCCCACCGGTGGATTGCTCTCCGAACGAGGAATCCATTGGTGGGGTCACACGTTCGGTTCGAGTCCCATTCAGCGACTCTGGAGCTCAAAACGCGTCTAGAGTTTTGTCCGCCTCCACCGGTCTTCTGGCCCACTGTGGGACGCCGAGGGGGCACACTCACAGAGACCCAGTGACCGGGCCTGCCAATCATAGTCGGGCTCACGCCGCTCGCGGTCAGCATGTAACAGTGTACGTGTCACGGTGAAACAATGCGACGTGTAGGACCACGCCACGTGATTCCACTCGCACGCCACCACAGGCGCCACAAAGTTATGGCGGGGCGGCCGCAGTCGTGCGGTCTGTCGGAGAAAGACTGAAAGACGACGGCGTGCTGTTACACGCCAAGTCGGTCGCCGGTCGTTAATTTTAAACAAGTCTCGCAAGGTATTTTTGCGTGCCCCCAATTTCTGTTAAAAATGTTTCAGGTATTAAAATTTCAAATTGCGAACTGTGGCTGTAATGATCCTCGTTCTTAGCCCCTGTGTGTATTTGTGTGCGTGTGTGTGCGTGCGTGTCATTTGGCGCCAAGGATTATTTGAGCGACCATTATAAACACGTTTCTAACCTCATCGCGTGAGTCGGGACGGCGAGGTGGTATTTGCTCGCCCCGGGCCGACGACCTGAGCAATTGGCTGGAACACACGCACTGCGTGGCCTGTTCGTTCACGTGTTCCTGGCATCTTATCAAGCCATTCACAGTGGCGCAGTGGTGCTTACAGTGGAGCGGTCGTGACCCTGGCCAAGGTGCCCGAATGCAGGTGTTATTGGCAAGCAGGCAGGCTCGGCGGCAGACGCAAACCGCCCCTGCGCACGCCACCGTTGGCGCCGAGGCCGGTTGAGACGTCACAGTGGGCCAGAAGACCGTTGACTCGTGCTATCTGCAAACGCTTCGCCACTTTCTCCTTCTTCTTTTAAGCCGTCGCTAGCATCCAACCGGATAGGAAGACAGATAGCGCCAGCAAAAACTAGACCGCACAGAAATGGACAACAAAAACGCAGCCGACGACGCATCGTAAACAACGTATAGATGCCGGGCGAAAGATAAAACACAAAAAATGCGGCGCTGCCGTCGGCTTGGCTCGATTCGGCTTCGCCGCCCGGGGGGTTTCGTAAAGCATTCATTTAATCATCACGTAAACGGCCGCCCTGGCCGGGCCGCGCAGTCAAAAGCCATCAGGTCACGCGTTACATCAGCAGATTGAGATTTGGGCGCTACCTAGAACGAGGTATCGAACGAGGCGACCCGTCAGCACCAAGGGCATTAGCCGTGCTGATAAGTCTCTCTTTGGCTGGTTCGAACGTGTGCAGTGCAATCTCCACGAATTTGTCCATGTAAATACGCAGATTTGAATTGCAAAAACGGGGAAATATATTCAGCCAAACATTGGAAAAACTTTTCGGGACAGTGTATCGTGAGTGAGGCGACAGTGGCAACGTTGGCATTCCCTCGGCGAAAACAAAAAAAAAACCGTAGTCACACTACCATGACTGTTGACCTTAACACCTGCGATTGCTGCACGATGTAGATTCTCTTCATCGCCAGAGGACACATTCAAATTTGCGTAGCAAGAGGCACGAGCGCAGCGCCCCAAGCGGTGGCCTGGCGAAGCTCAGTTAGGACCGTGTCGAGGGGATGTTCTGCTACGACACGATGACTTTTCCGACCACCCAGATTCGATGTCATGACCCATTACCGTTAGAAAAGCACAACAATTTCCATCGGCTGCAATAAAACAGAAGCGTTTTCCCCGAAATCAGCGGCAAACTGGTCGCATCCCCGTGATTTCACGGGCTCAACGCCCGCTTCCCGAACCGCCCACTAGAGGGCGCCACTTGTCGCCGACGTCAGCTTCAGAAAGGCGCGAAGATTCAAATTTCGAATCGGACACTCCCCATTTTGAGCGGCGGGGATTTCAGAGAGGCAAAGTGTGGACTGAAATGGCTCATTGTCGGTCCCCACGACTCACCTAAGCTGCCGAGCTCCTGAGGCGCGAGCGGCGCGCGGGCGTCGCCTGGGGCGCCCCCGACGACGGAGCTGGAGGGCAGGGACAGCCTGTCCGTGCTCATGGTGTGCATGGACAGCACCGAGCCGCGCCGCGACAGCCGCGGCCCGTGCCCTCCAGCAGCAGTGCTGCCGCTGGCTTGGCTCAGCACGTCTGCAAAATTTAATAAAAAAATCCAGAAGTTGTCAACATTTGCCCACCAAACGCCCATTGGACACCGAAATAAAAATTAATGTACATGACGGACAAAGAGGGTGCAGTAAGAAAAGAACTGCAGTATGAAGACATTCTCAGCTCTTTTACATACACAACAAATAAGGAAAAGGCAAGAGCTGTCTATAGCAGCAAAATTAAGCACATCACTGGGAAGTTAGTTTTTTGGTCGGCTATACTCTTTTCAGCTCCGCACACCTTCAGATAGATTTTAAAGGAGTCTTTTCAAATTAACCTACCTCCATTGGGACTTTTGATGCTGTAGGTTGAGCTTTTGGTGTATCGTCTGGGATACTTTCTGAAGAAGTCGGGCTTCACCGTTCTTCTGCGTCTTCTCAGATAGCGAGCCAGTATGCCAAGTAAAGTAATACCAGCAGTGACTGATATAAAAACAACCTGTAAAAGAGTGGGAAGGGCAATGGTTTAATGATATTAACTTACAGAAATTAAAATTTGAGGGGCTTTTGTGTCATCTGTTCGAAGAAACAATCAGTACACATTCGTCTGAGCAAATCAAGTAAATTTGGTTGACTTCTATGAAACAGAAAAATACTGTAGCTCAAAAAATATGTATTTTTTCCATAAAATCAAAAACAAACGGGAGAATCGCGAAAATACATCAGTGTATTCAGCTAACCTTCTGAGTTGACATTCTTCCAAATGAAGCACCTGACGGCATCATTGTCCGCAGACTTGACACCAGAGTTCCTACTTGCTCTGCGCTGGACATTTTGATCGGTGAACTTTCGCTTGGGCCGCCGTACTTTGGACTTTAACGACTGGGGCACATCGCAAAGGACCGAGAGTATAACCTCAACCCCTTCACCGGAATCGGAATCCCAGCATGGTGTCTGCTGCAATCAGCTGATCGTGCTCCGTCGCAAGAAACTGTCGTGTCCTTATTTCCTGATGACGAATCTAACTGAACATTAAACTTGTTAGTTCCCCCAATGACCACTGTGAATGTCCCTGTTTTATTCGCCGATTTTGGTAATTGTGAAACAAAATAAACTTGAGATTTAGCAGCCGACGGTAGCGGACGGTTTTGAAAGACGCTACTGCCTTGTGTGAAACGAGGAACGGCCCGGTGAGGATGAGGGGGGGGGAGGGGGGGGAGCGGCCGACCCCTACCACCTCACTTGTGAACACTACTGTTGTTGATTTGCAGAAGTTGTTAATTTTTCTGGTGTATTTGCTTCTGTGGAAATTTTGTTTTAAGTTTACCAGTTTATGGCTGCTTTGGAGTTTTGATTCTTGTTTTCAAACGAAGGAACAACAGGCTGCAATGGAAGTGGAATCGAATGAAGGATTTGACGATGATACGTCAAAGAACAACATAAATGATCTTCCTGACGAAGTTTTGGAATACATCTTCAGTCTCGTGTCGCCTTACAAAGACGTGAAAGAATGCATGCTTGTGTGCAAGCGATGGCTTTCCAACGTGAAAAGTAAGCATCCATACTCAAGATTATGAACTGTCACTGCTGAGGCTCATAACCCTGTAACTTGATGAATTCTAATTTACTTATTTTTTCTTAGTTTGTACCTCTTTTACTCTTTGATTTTATACTGTTTATATTTTGGATTTGCAATAAAAACTATGAGATCCTCCAGTTTAAGTCAGCTAACGCAACTTACGTTCTGCTTTCAGTCTTTTCCACACAGAGAGCAGAGTTTATGAACGATGTATGGCAACTGTGTGTTCACCTTTTCTAAACCAGTCTTTCTTTGCAGATGTTATTCGGGTCATGACCCTGAAACTAACCCATGCAATCACCACCATGGATGTTGCTTGGCAGGCCATTACACCTGTAGAGATGGAACCAACTATTACCAAAAGATTTTCGCATTCAGCTTGTTACCATGGTAAGTTAGAGCAATACTGCTGTCTGTGCCTTTGGTGCGTTTGTATGTTTCTTCTAATATATAATTCTATTTAATTTTAGATAACTCTATGTATGTGTTTGGTGGTTGCACATCAACCAGCACAACTTTTAATGATTTGTGGCGCCTGGATTTAAATAAGCGTAAATGGGTGCGGCCTTTGGCCACAGGCACATATCCTAATCCAAAAGCGTGTTCTTCCATGGTCCAGTCCAACAATGCCCTCATTGTTTTTGGAGGGTGGACCCTTCCATCTCCATACCCTGTTTACCAGGTAGTTTGTGCTTTTGTTGTCTGTGCTTTGTTTACCGTCCTGTTTCTGGCCACACTAATTTCTTTGATTCTCCTTAGGCTTGTAGGCTTTTTAGTGAGCTTCACATCTATAGTATCACGGAAAACCGATGGACATGTATCAACACTGCATTCTCTCCACCTGGCATGGCAGGTCATTCAGCAACTGTCCATGGAGACACAATGGTAGTGTTTGGAGGTCTCAAATCTGAAAATAATGGCCAATATGCAAGGTATGTAATTCAAAGATATTGTTCACTCCAAAATAATACTGCCTGTATGCTGTCTTAATTAATCTTTCACAATTATTTCAGTTCAAATGATGTATGGTGTTTTAATCTGCGGACCCAAGAGTGGACTAAACCGGCAACTTCAACTACAAAGCCAAATGCACGATATGGTCAGTCACAAATTTGGCTGAAGAAAGACGCTATTCTAATCATAGGTATGTTCCCTTATGAGCAGAGATGTATTTTTTTTTCTTCTTTCAATCCTCAGCAGTTTTTCCTCATGTGTTGTCTTTTAATTTTAAGGTGGTTGTGGTGGTCCTAACATGATATACAATGATGTCTGGCTGCTGTCCTTGAAGGGTAGTGTATGGGAATGGCGTGAAGTTGAGGTGCAGAACCGTGAGTGGGCAGCTACATACATGTGGTGTCATCGAGCGTGCAGGGTAAGCTAGCATTGCATCTCATCATATTCAAAATTATTTTTATTTAAATTTGAACTGTTGAATCATTACTCCTTATCACTCCCTCAGGTTGGGAACCAAGTGGTAATGATGAGCCGTGATCCTAGGCCTCTCAAGAAAAAGCCAAACAACGGAGCGAAAAGTAAACCTAGGCCCAGAACCTCATCTGTCTGGTTTCCTCCTCGATATGAGGAGCCTGTGCCTAACGTTCCTCGACGAATATCGTCGGCCGTTAGTGTTGATAGAGACTTGAATGTGAATGGCCAGAGGGGATCATTTTCCCGCCCAACAAGAAGCCCAAGGCAAGACCCTGCCCACCGTCCGGAGTCAGATTTGAAACCTGGTCCCAGCGGCCTCAACAAAAGAACAAGGAGCGCCTTATCTCAGGAAGACCAACTCATGGATTGTGAACCTGGCCCCAGTGGAGAACGAAGTCATTCTGTTCAACGGACGGATTGCCAACCAGGTCCAAGCAATCACTCAAGAGCTAGCCAACCAATTGATTGTCAACCTGGTCCTAGTGGAGTTGGCAAACAAGCATCACCATCAAAAAATGAATCGCAAGACAACTCATCTCCTTCCAGCTCTAACACTCACAATTGGGATCGCTTAAGACCAATCAATCGATCGTCTAGTGCAGAGAACAGAGTGGGTAATCTTCAGTTAGCTGCTTTCCAAGACCAGGAACCTTCAGCATCTACGTGTCCAAATAGAGCTCGAGAACGACAACTCCAGGCATTACAAAGATTCGAAGAGCGAATGAGGTATAACAACCAGCCTGCTGCACAGGAGCCTGCCGAGGATGAGGCTCCAGTTGGAAAGCCTCAGAGAACCATGGTTATGTGTGTCTTAGATATCACCAACCTTTTAGAAGAAGAGTGCTCAGTGCGGTGGCTTCCATTTGGGCCAGAGGGATCCAGTACAGGCCCTGAGGAGACTATTCTGTACTCTCTCGTTCCAGGAAGAGGAGAAATAATAATGTTTGGAGGAATTCATAGAGAGGCCACAACACTACTGACTAACTCCCAGATGAATACTGCCAGCAATCTTTCTAATTCATTACATTTCATTTCTGCACCTCATGGTGTCATTTAAACCTGACTGAGTTTTACCATTTTGTATTTAAATCACTACCATTAGAATTAACATATTTATATGTTGCAAGTGATGTTTTTATTGACCTATGCGCCATGTACATAGTCAGCTGTGTTATTTTTACTTCTTTTTTTTTTGGTCCGTCAGATTGATTGAACTTTGCATCTCCCTGTATTGTAAATACTAGGAGAGCTACTTTAGTAAAATCTGAAGAACCAAGCTGAATTGATCAGATGTTCTCCGTACTTTGTTCCTATATTTGCCCTTGTTCAGTTTCCTTTGTTCTTTTATTTGTTGGTTTATTCTGATCTGAATAGTTGATTTAAATGAACTAACATGTGTATGTATGGAACATTTTGATTGCTATACTGTTATTTAAGGATCATAATTCATGATAAACTGTTAAAAGAAATATTTTTAATAACAGTTTGCGTTGATTCATTTCATTTATTTTCATAGTTCATTATGTGCAAAAATGTACAACAGACACACCGCACTCCTCCTAATCATCATCGTCATCATCATTTTTCTTTAAACTTCCGAACACTTCTGATGGAACTGTTTGCTTCTGTATGTGTGGAATGGCTGCAACAAAAACAAGAACAAAATTAACACTTGACTTTTAGATTATATTAGAGAAATTTGGCACTGAAAAACTCAATTATACCTTCTTCCTCTTTTCCACTATCTTCACTTCCTGAACCTTCCTCTTCCTCTTCATCAATGTCAATTTCATCTGGATTGGCAACTCTGGCTCCCTCTCTGTCTCCTCCTTGAGTTTCACCACGAACAAACAGAATGTTGCCACCCTTGGGGATCACTGGAAAGAAAAGAAAGAAAAATATATCAACCGTTAGGAGGACACACACGGGCCTTTCTCTCTCTTTTTTTAAAGGAAGGAAGGATGTACTGACCCAGCCGCGACTCCATCTGTGCAACTTCTGCTGCCTTTGCTTCAAGCATACGCATGCCGTCTTTCACACCAGGAGCCAGATCAGCAACAGTGCCAGCTGATCCAGAAACATTCACCATCTGTGCTGACATCATGTTCACCTAAAATAAAAAACAAGAATAGTAAAGTGATTAGGAACCACATTGATTTGACAATTTGAAACAAATACATGCAATGCGATTTAAATACACTACCTGAGTGTTATAGGTTGCTTGAACACTTCTCTTGATACGGAGCATTTCTCTCATAGTGTCTTCATTTCCATGCCGCACTTCAAAGTCCTTCCAAGCTTGCCAGAAGTCAGCAGTTACCTGAAGACATACATTAATTAATTGGGCATTTCCATGCTGCCAGTGAAACACTTAAAGGTATAGAACTTACCCTTGGATCACAAATCTGGCCACAGTGGGCATAGATGGCTCGAGCTCTGTCCACCTCGCCCAGCTTCGTTTCCATTTCAGCGAATCTCATGCACATTTCACGAGAATTGTTGTCATCCAGCATTTCAATAGCCTTTTCATATATCTGTCGCGTCTTAGGTACACCATAAATCTCGGCAGCTTTTTTAATGTAAATGTTGAACATCTACAACATGGAGTTAAAAACATTAGAGTTAGATCTAGAAAAATCAACAGGCCTCAGTTTTAAATTTATTTTAGTGCTGATATATACCTCAAACATTTCCTCTGGCTGAACAGCCCCTGTTGCTCTTTCATAAACTGCCATGGCATGTCTGGCTAAACCATGCTCTTCTTCAAGTTTGGCATATAGAAGATATAGAGCTAAAAAAAGGATGAAGATAATGATTTTAAAAATAAAAAAATGTATGAAGAACATTTAAGAGAGAAAAGACTGTAAGCATTTGACTGTATTACCTTTGGCAAATTTGGGTGGACATTTTTCTAAACATTGTTCAAAGAGATCTCTGGCTCTCTCTAATTTGGTGCCACCATAACGTCTTAAGAATTTTGTTAAGTAAGTATTCCAAATATCATACACATTAGGCCATCTGAACAGAGCAATGCCTTTCTCATATGCCTGAGAACACAAACACAAAAAACGTAGGGTAAAAAAGATATGTTGGATTGGTATTCCTCAAAAGATTGTTATGTCTATAAATAATCATTACCTTGAAAGCCTCTTCAAAGTAGTTTTGTTCCTCTAGGAACAGACCATAATTGATAATAATTTGTGGTGTTGCTATTTTTAGGTCTATTATTCTGTCATACACAGATTTGCAGGACTGTGAAATAAAATGTTAAAAAATAGAAACAGAAATTGGCAAAAAGCTTAAAGATATTATTATGAGAGAGTGCTACTCACTTTGAATGAGCCAAAGCTTTCTTCTAAATCTGCATACAAAGACCACAACTTCAAGGACTTGTACAGCCTATTTTGAACAGTTTCAGTTTCATCATGGTAAGCAGCTTTGTGATTGGGCATTACTGTGGCTTTGTGCATGAGTTTCAAAGCAGTTTCTGGCTTCCTGAAAGGAGGAAAAAATAAACAGATAAAATTAAATTCAACTTTCAAAAAAAATTATTTTAACTGTTGTTGTGAGGTACTTACTCATGTCTAATTTCCATTTCTGCCCACTCACACCACACTGCTGCCAAATCTTCCACTTTAACATAGGCAACTTGTGTAGCCTTTTCAAAAACAACACGAGCGTCATCAAGCTGGTTGTTCTCCTCGTAAAATTTGGCAAATGAGACCCATAGAGTGTTCAACTTTCCAACAGCAAGTTTTGGATCAACAGTTTGCACTGCTTCAGTGTATGTGGCAATAATCTGAAACATTTAAAAAGTGTTAATATATATTGTAGTAAAATGACACTGCGCACACCTATATTTACATCTAAATTTTATTTACCTGATGTGGTTGGCCTTCATTGAGCTTTACTCTCTTGTGCCATTCATGGACATTATGTGGGTTTTGACGTAGCAATACAGAGTTCAACAGAAGTGGGCGTCGCTCCATGAGATGCTCAAACCGAGCAAGGCGGAGTTCCAAGTCAAGATCGTCTGTTGATGAGAGAAAGGTAAGAACATTGTTTTGACTGACTAAAATGATAGTGATTGATAGATTGATAGAAAGAATTTTACCTTCTTCAGTTGGGTTTGGGTTGCTTGCAGCCTGCTCCATGCGTTTGCTCAGGCTAAGTTCTTCAAACTGGGCATAAGCATCAAACACCTGGGTGAAGTCTCTAACTGTCTTGACTGTTTGAATAGCTTCTTCATAGATGTCCCTGGCCTGGAAGGAAAATTTACCATTGACTTAAAGAGAAGACAAAACAAAATTGCTGAAAATGCCATACTACAATGAGGATTGCCACTAACCCTTTCAAAAAGACCACTGCGGACATAGTAGTCAGCCAATGAGTTCCATAAATGACCCAATTGATCTGTGTAGCGCCTAAGTCCACCCCGGATGATTGCATCAACATTTAATGACCTGCAAACAGAGTTCAAACTGTTGTCAAGTCCTTCAAAAATCAAGAAAGATAAAAACAAAGTGGATTTCAGGACATACCTCACTTGATCTGGATTTTTAGAAATCAGTTCACACAACTCATTCCATAACTGATGGTTGGATTTACCATGTTTGGACACAAAATCATCATGATTAACAATGAAAGCCAACTTGAGAGCTGCTTCATCTAGCCGATTAATGTCTGACAAATACTCAATATAATCTTCAGTGTCTTCTGGGCACAACTGCAAAAAAAAAACAAAAAAAAAACAATGTAGTTAAGAAAACTTACTACGTAATAACACAAGCATAAGACATAAATTCCACTGTAATACCTTCAAATATCTCCTGAACACCCTCACAGCAGTTTCTGGAATATCATGCTTTTTCACAAATGTAAGGTAAATGGGCCAAATGCGGTGGTGTTGGGTAACAGGCAGTGCACGCAAGGCACGATCAAAAGACTGGCGAGTGCGGGTGATAAGATTTTGATCCATCAAAAACTGGCAGTAGTCCATCCATATTCTTGGCATCTGTTGTATCAAAATGTGTTTTCTTAGAAAAATTTTTCTGTACATTGGCATTTAATACTTAAATACTTTGACTTACCTTGTGCATGAACACCAGAGCTCGCTCAAATGCATTATTAACATCCTCAAAAATTGGATCAATAACACAACGACCCTTAGTCTGACGTCTCCTTAATTTTAGGTAGTTGTACCAGAGTTTGTAACTTGAAACAAAAAGATATAATTGATGAATAACAAGCAATGACAATAAACTAAATAAATTTAAAAAAAATAAATTTGAATAAATTACCTTCCTGGCAATTCTTTCAGGGCTCTTTCATAGATGATATTGATGGCATTCTTTGGAGCGCTTTTTTTGTGATCGATATACCGGAGCCAGTGCTTGACTGAAAATGGATTACGTAAGATATCCTCCTCGTATGGTAGATCTTCTTCACTCTATACAGGTGAAAAGAATACATTTGTTTAAATGTTGCACAAAGAAAATTGCTGGCACATTAAAAATGACAATAAAGCATATAAAATAGCACTCACGAAAACAATGTGAAGATCTTTCCGGGCTATTTCTGGCATCCTCATCTCTGTAAAGGAAAGCATTTCGTGATCAATCAAGTGTCAAACGTGGAACAAGCCCAATAAAGCAAATAAATTAACATGTCACTGAAGTCCAATGTCGAAGATAAGTTTGAAAACGTTTTTAACACGGCAGTAAGGAGGTTATGTTCAGGTTGTAAACAGACAGAATATGCCGTACTACGTACTGCACTGTCTGATAAATAAGGGCAAATGGTGCATAGTGCATAGTGGCACCCTTTCAATGTGCATGATTACTTACTATCGATAAGAGTTCGGCGGTTTCCTTAAAAAGCTTTGCATATAATCACCAACACGATTCAAACAAGCGGCGTCTGAAACACTATTGACAAGATTGTGTTTATTCGCACCACTAAGCTGCACAAAGAATTTCTCATCGTTGAGAAAAATTAAGATGAGAAAGTTTCGTGTCGTATACTGACGTCATCGGGACCCGAGCCAACCCGAGCCGAGGCCGAGACGAAGCAAAGCCGAGCGAGCAGCGTCAGTTGCGATCAGACATGGAACATGGCGAAAGGGTGCGCGTCGTTCTTGAGTGGACAGTCACATCAGTTAACGAGATCTTTAGAAAGAATACTAGAAGATGCTCACGTTAGTGGAGAGCTGAAGCTAAGCGGGAGGAAGTTGAAGGATTTTCCCAAGACCGGCGGCAAATATGACCTCAGCGATACAGTTACCGCAGGTAAACCTTCACCCTCTGCCTCTTCTGCTCCGCCACTGCGCCGTCTCGTCCGGTGGTCCGGTCCCTATTGTTGTGCTCCTTCCTCCCTGCAAAATAACGAAATTAAATATTTACCGCTGTTTTTCTCCGGTTGAGTGATCGTTTACACTAGTGCGACCGTTTTCTCCGTCGCTTCTCGTCTTGTTTCGTTTCTATTGTTGAGTTCTGGATAAATATCGGACAATGTATGCTTCTTTAGTTTGCACCGGCGCGACAACGACCAGCTCGTAAAAATGTCAGGCATCGCGAATCGGCGTAGGGGCTTGCACCTGTGCGTTTGGCTGTTCGTGTTAGCCGTACAAACTTAGTACTGCCGTGCGTTATGGTTAGATTCCTTTGCAGAGAGAGTCTGCAAGACTGGAAAAATGAGTCAGCTGACTAATTGTTCAAGGTTATCCATCGATTTGTGGCCATACAGCCGGAAATTTGATTATTTGTTGTGCGCTTTTGGTCGGGGATTTTCTACTCTCTTGGTTAAACTTGGGCTAAGTTTGGTTTGTTTGGATGCAGGAGCATCTTAATATTTGGTCAATATTTTTTTGGTGCACATCTTTCAGTCATGGCACCAAAATTTTGTACTGGGGTAGTTTTTGTCAAATGGTGTTTTTATTTGTACAGAATGGCACTACAGATTAGCATAATAACCAACTTGAATTTGAGTGTCTCAGTGGGACCCCTAAAGTGCCCCGTCCCCTTCGTTTTTTGCTGGGCAGAGGACAGGACAGGGGTTGCTTCGGCCGCTCCGCCCGCCTCGCCCGCTTCGGGGACAGGACGGGGACAGGTGTGCAGGCCGCCTCGGAGCGCGTGCCAGGTGCAAGGGGTAGGGTTCGGCCAGTGAGGTCCGTCGCTCTGTCTCTCTCGCACTCGAGGCGCGTGCCGTAAGGGTCCGCAGGGGTGCGAGAGAGACGGGGGCGGCACCAGATAGCCAGCTATTGGGGCCGCGAGCCGGCCGTCTGTCGGCCCCAAAGGGGTGACAGATGCTGCTGGCCCGATAACGCCTGGCCGCTCTGGCTGGCCGCTGGCTGGCTGCGGGCGGGGCGGCACGCGCGAAGCAAAAGCGGCCTCCGCGGGGATTCGAACCCGCAACCCGCGGCCTAATTGGAGCGGCCATTGGTTCTCACGGCGATAAGCGCGCCGCTCGTCTCGCCCGATGCCTTTCTATTGATTGGTGGTGCTACACTGTAATCGTGTCCGGGATCGCCGCCGGTCACATTCGGGGCGTCGGGGTCGGTCCGAGAGGCCCTGCTGCCCCCGCCGGCGCGGGGACCACCCAGACGGGCTCGGCGAGGAACGAAGGCCGCCGCGGCCGGTACTCGAACCCCCGCCCGCGGACGAGCGAATCTCGCCAGCGTCGTGGAAGTCGGAGGAGAGGAGAGGAGGCCGAACCGAATCGGCGAATCGGCGCCGCGTTGACCACGCTCCTCGCCGAGCTCCTCGCAGTGCACGCACCCGGAACTCTTGACTTGCCGATCGATCCGCGGCGGCAGTGCTGCTGCACCGAGTCGTCCTGGTCCTGCAGGACGTCGAGAAGCTGGCAGGCTCCTCTCCCTCGCGTCGCCGCGCCGCCCGGCGCCGCCTCGTCGCGTGTCGGGAATCTTCGAAAGCCAATTATGTCCGCGGCGTTTTCGCTGATAAGGGAAGCAATTAGCCACCCTGCCGCTATGCCCTGCCCGCGCCGGGACCTTGGCCCGGTGGCTTGTTTTGGTTGGGACTGTACGCCGCCACTGCGAACCGCGCCTGCCCTGTGTAGTACACTGTACAGCCCGGCCAGCGTCTCTCAACGGCCTGTGGTTTGTTTATCGCATGACCATGGCCAGGGAGCGAGTGTGTGTGTACGCAGTGCTACGCAGTGCCAGCCGAACGCCCCACGTCGAGAGCCCCACGCCCAACGGCTAGGCCGCCGCTTGGATGAGTCGATCGCGTCCAGATATCGCCACTCCGTAAATTGAGGGGGAGTTGGCTCACCGGTTTCTCTCCACAGACGAGTGGTTGCGAAAGCCGCGGGCCGCGTCCCGTCCGCCTTCTTCTAGGCTCTCTTCCTGTACCAGAGCTAGCACACCCGCCGGCCGGTGCGTCAGCTGATCCTTGCCCTTGAGTGGGTGTGGCAGTACGAGACTGCCGCTCGGCGTGGCGGCGGCCGCCGGGGCTTCGATATGGCAACGACGCCGTGCTGGCCGCGCTGGCAGTGCGACCGCCCCCTGCCGCCGCCGCCGCCCCCGCCGCGCCGCGGAGCCTCCCTCCTACGCGCACCCTCTCTCGACGTACACTCCGAAAAACGGCGAGGCCTCAAGGTGTCCGCCGCGGCGACGGCGTTGACTCCGCGGCGCCGCCTCCAGCCGAGTCCAGCCGAGGGCGACGTCCTGCACGCCCTGCACCGCAAGCCCCTCGCGTCTTCCAGTGTGGACGCGCTTTGTTCTGCGGGGGGAGGCGGGGAAGTCCTTCGAGGACCTGTCTGTCTGTCCGTCCGTCGGGCGGCGGTACTCGCGGCGGATGTGCGTTGGCTCAAGTACCTCGGCCGGAATACAGTAATACAGTGCGGCCACGCGAAGGCTGCCCGAAGGTACCCGAAGGCTGCCCGAAGGTACCCGAAGGCTGCCCGAAGGCGAGGCGCGTTCCCCGGGGGCACCTGTTACGATCCACTGGAACGAACGAGTGCGACGTCGACGACCCGCGCCTTACCTGGCTGGAGCCGCTGGAGCTGGAACCCCTTCCACCTGTCTGCAGTGTCTGGCGGGGCGGGGCGCGGCGGCTCTGGAGGCGCGGGAGTGAGTCACGGTGAGATACAGGACCCCGTCGATGCGATGGCAGGAAGACCGGCGGGCCGCGGTCCAGATACCCGGCCACTCCAGCCGACTCCAGCATTCCAGACCCCGGCGGGCAGGCGGGGCTGGCAGCCCTCCCGCCCCTCCATTCACAGCCGCGATAGCGGCGATAGCGCACACGCCGCGGCCCCGGGTTCAAATCCCGCTCCGTTCTCCGTTTTGTTTCTCCCTCTCGCTGGCGTTGCGTGCCGCGCGAGAGACATGTGCCGTCTCGCTCTCGTTGCACCGGGCGAAAGCTTTTGACGCTAATTACGCAGACAGCGGACGATGCCACTCCACTGTTACACTCCACTCGGAATACAGTAAATGCTCACCACCGCGGGACGGGCGGCTCTGGATTTGGCAGCGTCGGACGGACAGACAGACGGACAGGGCCAACAAACGGAGACGGATTTCTCGGAAGGCCAGGGCGGTGGGCCGGCCTGACGGGCACCAGGGACGCACACGGGTACCGTCTGACTGCAGGTGGATGGAGGAAGACAGGCCTCAAGAGTCCAGTCGGCGCGCGCAGGTTGGTGGTTTTTAGACGCGCATTTTTGCCCCCGTCGTGTCGTTATCTTCTGTCCTTCTCGCACGCAGTGAGGCGTCCGTCTCTTTCCCCGCAGTTTAATTCGTGGGGAAACTGTTTGCGTTTCGATTTTTCCGGCTCCCCGCGGAGCCCCATTCATTAGCCCGGGGCGTGCGGGGGTGCGTCGCTCTGTCTCTCTCCCACGCCTGCGGCACGGCGCATGGGTGAGAGAGAGGGGGGGACTGCTGGGTCGCGGCGAAAACCGTCATTTCCATATCGCGCCGCGAAGGACGGACTTTACTGGGATTTGCGTCCCGCTTGTTTGGGGCGGCGAAGCGGCTGTCTCTCTCGCACTCGCGGGGCGTCCCGCGGGCCGCAGGGGTGCGAGAGAGACGGACGAAGCTCGGTTCGGAAGCAGCCTGCGGCGGAGTGGCGCGTCTCTGGGGCGTTTCTGGGAATAATAAGGCGGATTGCTGGGCCCCCTCCAGTGTAGGGCTTGGCGCCTGGCGCCCCGTCGAGGCGGCCGAGGCCCCGTCGGGGGCGTGGCGGGGTGGGGCGGCGGCCAGCGAGTGGGCCTGATGCTGATGAGGGGGAAAGGGGGGTGGTGCGTGTTACAGATCGCCCTTGAATAGCCCTGGTGCAGCCCGGCCTGCACCACGCCGAGGAGCTTGGCGGTGCTGGGCACGCTGGCGCAGTCCCTCACCCCCTGGCCGCTCTTGGAGGCGCTGCTCTGCTTTCCATATCCCCCGCCTTGCTGCCCCCCGCGACCGGCTCCTGGCACGGAAAGGGCCCCGCTGTGCGCTGCTCTGTCTCTCTCGCACCCCTGCGGGCCGCCTCGTGAGTGCGAGAGAGACGGACTGTGCCGCGAATAAGGCAAGGCCGTCGGAAGGTTGTCAGGTTGGCGGAAGCGACTTAGCGGGGGCGGGGCGGGGGAGTAGGTCGCCGCGGGGATTCGAACCCCGGACCCCGTGCACCCGCGGCATTAGGCCGGGCCTCCACGTCGACGGACAGGTGACGGTGACGGCCCGACGGGCGAGGAAGGGTGGCGAAGGGTGGGCCGGCCTGCCAGTTTTGCAGCCCCGTCGTCGTCGCTGTCTCTCTCGCTCTCGCTGAGGGAGGTGCGAGGGAGACGGAGCGACGAAAGCAACTGTGCGGATTTCACCTCTGCATCGCATTACCCTTCGCTCCCTCTCCCTCGCGGCCCGGCCAAGCCAAGTGAGAGAGCGATAGCAGCGCGATCGAATTTCCGAGCGTGAAATGAATTCTCCGCGCCCTGTTCGCCCAGTGTGCCTTGGCTGCCTTCGTGTGTGGTTCTGACAGTTGGCGCGAGTCTCACTGCAGACTCATTCCGAGAGTCGCTCTGTCTCTCTCGCACCCGCACGGGACGCCCCGCGAGTGCGAGAGAGACGGAGCGACTCTCGGAATCAGTCCGCTGTGGGGAGGGCGATAGCGTTGTCTTCATCAAACGCCGCGCCAGGCCGTCGGGGGTGCGTCGATACTCTTATTTTCGGCGGTGTTTCGGTTTCCAGTGTAGCAGCCTGGTTCCTGCGGGGCACTGCGGGGCTTCTCTATGCTTGGCGCTCGGCAGTTGTTGGCGCTCCTAATTGTCTCTGGGCCGTGCTAGTACACCG